TTTTTTGGTCTTTCGAGACAGGGTTTCTCTGTGGCTTTGGAGGCTGTCCTGGAACTAGCTCTTATAGACCAGGCTGGTCTCGAACTCACAGAGATCCGCCTGCCTCTGCCTCCCGAGTGCGTTAAAGCCCATCTTAACGGGCTCTTTTTTTTTTTATCCTAAAACGTTTCTCCAAATCCTCCACCCCTACCACTAACTGTCATCCTTAAGTCTGTAGAACATAGATGCCTTTCCTCGCTTCCCTTCGCTTCTTACCACAGTCAGATGCCCACATCCTCCCCTTGAAAGTGCCCTGGGTGCGGTGGTCACCAGTGGTCTCTGGGCAGCAGTCCCCAATAGTGCCTTCAATGCCTATAATAATAGCCACCATTTACTGAGTGGTTCCTGCCTGCTAGGCACTCTGTGCTGCTTGTTTAGCTTTCCCACCAACAGTTCTGATGTAGGTATAATTACTTTTACCAATTTACAGACCAGGAAACTGATGCTTGGAGCTTAATTAGCTTTGCTCCAGTTCACCTAGCCAGCAAGCGACAGGGCCAGCATTTGCACCGGGCCTCCTAACTCCAGAGCACAAGTTACTAACCTTGGAGAGCAATGTGGCATTTGACATAATTGACTCCTTTTCTTCTTGAAATGTCTTGTTTCTGTGACATGGCATTCTCCTGACTCCCTCCTACCCCTCTGCCCACTCCTTCTCAGGTGACTTCACCGTCCCCCTTTCCTTTCTTTGCAGTCCTGTTTAAAATGTCAGTGGGTCTATCCTTAGTTCCTTCCCTCTCCCCCCTCCCCCCGGGGTGTCTCCTTTACTCCTGGGTATCTGGCTGCTGCCCTTGATTTCTGCATGTCTGCCTCTAACCCATCTCCACCAGTAACCCCCAAGGCTAAGCATAACAGACACCTTAGTTCTAGGCCAATCTCAGGGTACTCAACACTGAACCTTGTCACCTCTTCCCAGATTGGGTTGTCTGGGGTTCTGTGGCTCAGCGAAGGATAGTACTCCCACCCCCAAGTCCTTAGCCATCACCCTTCTCAGTCATCTTGGACTCCTCTGAGCTTCTGTTCCTTCCCCTGCTAATCAGGCTCACTGATGCTCCTTAACACCTCTCTTGTCTCCATCTCCTCCTCTCCCCTTATTCTCATTGTCTTAATTTAGGCTGCATCATCCCTTGCCTGCATAACAGCCTCAGCCTCCTAATTAGCTTCCCTCCTGCCACTTGAGCTTCTGCCTGGTCCCTGGTCTTCTGACCATCTAGCCTCGGTCTAGACTGCAGAGAGTACTGATACGCTCCCTGCCAAGGCCCCGCCTGCCATGGAGGGGGACAGGGGGGGGGGGGGGGGCAGAGGATGGCAGTGGAAACATATTAAAAGGATGAAGAGAGGAGTGAAAGGTGACTGAGGTCAGGTGATGCTGCACATATGGCGATATGATTGACAGGCCACTCAGGCCTAAGGTCTTCAACGTCTTGGCATCTGTTAAGTCACCCTAGGCTCTTTAGATGACCTTCTATTGAGTGGTCTCTGGAGGATGATGCAGCAGCTCCCACAAGGGAGAAGAACACCCTGAGACTTCCCCTCTAGGTCCTTTGTGTATCCTCTTCAGTATGGCTTGCTCCTCAGCAGGGCAGAGCGCCTCCTACTGGCTGTGGGAGGAAGAATACCCTCTCCTCTGAGCTGACAGGTGACCCATCTGAGAGATAGAGACCCTTGTCCTTGCAGGTGCCGCAAGATGACTGGGGGGGTTACCCCACGGGTGGCAAGGACGGGGAGATCCCCTGCCGCAGGATGCGGAGCGGCAGCTACATCAAAGCCATGGGGGATGAGGAGAGTGGAGACTCAGACGGTAGCCCCAAGACGTCTCCCAAAGCACTTGCCCGCCGCTTTGCCTCCCGCCGCTCTTCCAGCGTGGACACAGCCAGGATCAAGTAAGGATGGTGGTGGTGGTGGGGTGTTGGAGACGATTCTGAGTTCCTGCAGGGACTGTCTGTAGAGGGTTTTGGATGGGTGGCTCTGCTTAGGGTTCAACAGACTAACTTGCTCTGCTCCATGTGGAGTCACAGTCTCTGTCTTAGTGTTTCTTTTGTTGGGGGAAGAGGCCTCCTACCCAAAGTCTCCTGGGCAGTCTCTCTGTCGGGGTGGGGGAGCAGCGGCTACGAAGTACAGAACCTAGTCAGAGGCCCTAATATTATCATGCCCCCTCTCCACCTCCTAACACTCCCATTCTGACTCTGACATTTGCCTTTTTCAGCTGCTGTGTCCCACCCCGGATCCATCCCCGGAGTTCCATCCCTGGCTATAGCCGTTCCCTCACAACTGGACAGGTAGGGAGTGGCCCTGAAAACATGGAGGGAAGGGTAAGAAAGGGAAGCCACCTTTTGCTCTTTCTACACTGTAATCTGAGTCTGTCCATGGAGGTAAAGCAAGCCTGGTTCTGGGGAAGCCCCAAAGCCTGCCCATGACTTCCAGACCTTCTTGGGCTTCGAATCCCCAAGAACCATCAAGTGTGCTCAAAGTGGTGAGCGTGTGTAGAAGGACACCATCGTTTCTCTGCAGCTCCCTGGCCCTCTCCAGGCCCGACTGCACCAGACTCCTAAGTGAAAAGTACGGACAGGACGGGGCAGAGGGGAAGTCTCCCAGTCTGCCATGACCTTCACTCCTTCCCTTTCAGCACCTGTTTCCTCATCTTTGAAATGATAAGAGCAAAACCAGAAGCGATGCCAAATGCTTGTAATCCCAGCACTCTGTAATCTTGGCACATGTGAGGAGGAGGTGGGCAAGATCACGAGTTCAAGGCCAACCTCAGCTACATAGTAAGACTAATCTCAAAGAAACAAAACCAAAGGGTAGTGTTAGTGCTAGGTAACTCTCAAGGGGGATTTGTGGGAGTTCAGTAGAAAATATCGTTCGACACAAGGTACTGGCCCCAGACTGATGTATAAAATCCAGTTCCAGTGCTGGAGATGTAGCTCAGTTAGGAAAGTGCCTGCCTAGCAGCCACAAAGTCCTGTGTTCGATCCCCAGTGCTTCATAAAACTGGGTGTGGTGGCACATGTCTGTCTCAGCAGACACAGCAAAAGTTCAAGGTCATCCTCAGTTACTTAGCAAGTTGGAGGCCATTCTTGTACAGGGGTACAAGAAACCCTGTCTCAAAGAGAATAAAGTGATTTCTGTACCTAAGTGTAGGCTTTCCTCTTCGTTAGATGGAGGCAATGGCAGTTTGTGTTTGAATGTAGGGGAGAGGGTTGAATAGAGGCTGGACTACTTACCATCTGAGTGACCTGGGGCAAGTTACATGACTTTTGAGCCCCTTCCTTCCCTATTTAAAAATAGGCATCATAATAGCATTCTTGGCACATAGCCAGTGCTCAATAAAGGTTAGCTATTTTTACTGTTTGCTGGGGGGTGTGGGGAGAGCAATGCAGAAAGCCATGCAGAAGACGGTCCATCGGCTCCTATTGTGAGCCTAGGCAGTCTCTCAGAAGCCCTTCCTTTGTTCCGTTTCCTGAATCGGGTTCTGATTTGGCACAGCTGTCTCTCTGCATCATGCCAGCCTCTGTTCCTAGTGCCACTAGTAAATGCCCAGTCTTCGTGTTCCTTGACCATTGGTGACAGCTAACATATTGATGACCCTTCTTCCTGGAATACTTTTCTCTGGTGGCTTTTTGGACACCACACCCCTCCACCTCCCTCCAACTGCTAATTCTTATCTGTGTCTCAGGATGTCACCGCTGGAGCTTTCCAGGGCTCTGTCCCTGCTCTGATTCCTATACCTGCTCTATAGGTGATCTCATCCTGGCTTGTGGCTTTGAATATTACTGAGAGCCTGTGGACTCCCAGATGCATAACTCCAGCCCAAAGCCTCCCTGAGATGCCAGGCATGTGCATGGACCTGTGTATTGGAGCACACTTGGATGGTTGGTGCAGACACCCCCATTCTCCTCCTCTCCTGGTCTCTGCTCCACCCAACTGCTATCGCCTTTGCAGATAATGGAGGTTTTTATTTTTCTAGGACTTATGGTCCAAAGTCAGTCTTTTTGGTCTTTCTACCGTTCCTCCCTCCTCCCCCCTCCCTCCCGAGCTGTGATTGGAAACAATGATATACTCACGTTGAGCATACACTCCATCACATAGCTATACATGAAGTCAGACTGTTCTCTCTGCTATACATGCCATATCCTTCAGTCTTTCAGCCAGTCCCATTCACAGTGTTTCAGGCTCCATCCACCCTTCACTGAATATACTGCAAGTCCCCACGGCCTTGGCTGGGGCTGTTGCCCTGCCTTCTTGTTGGTCTTCTGTGTTTGTCCTGACTCTGACTCATTCTCTGTCAGTATAGGCAGAACAATTATTTAAAAATATAACTACAGCCTTTTACCTTTCTGTTCACAGCCCTCGACTTGCTCAGAGTATCCACCCAGGGCTTTATTAGGGTTTACAAAGCCCTGTATGAGCTGGCCAGTGTTGCCTCCTGCTCATCCCCTAGCTCTGTTCCCTTCCCTTCCTCCACCACACTGCCCCCACCCCCACCTACTCCCCAGACACCAGAGTTAGATGCCAGCCTCAGGACTTCAGCATTTGTTCCTGCTTCGATGTCTCTTTCCCAGACTCTCCTGTGGACCACTCTTTGCTTTTTTTTTTTTTTTTCAGATCTTTCCCAACTGTTCTGAAATTTGAATCTAAACCTTCCAAACATTTCCTATTCCTCGCCTTCCTCCTCCCCTCTCTTCCTCCCACTTTACATTATCTAACAGTGTACATACTTGGCATATTTCTCCTGGAGGTGTGACTTAGAGTCTTTGCTTTACAGAAGAGGAGAGAGAGGCTTAAAGCACCAGAGATGCTGCCCTGTTATCTCTAATGATGCTTTTCCTCCTGAGTGGATTTTTCTCTTTAGTATTTGCCTTGAACATCTTTTTCCATCTTTGGCTTTAAAGTTTTTTGTCCCATATGTTTCAGGTATGTCTTTTTAAATATAGTTTATGACTAGATTTGCTTTTCCATCCACTTGATAGTTGTCTGAGAGTTTTGTACATTTATAGTTATTGTGATCGTTGATATGCTTGAATTTATTTCTATTGTCTTACTTTGCAAGTCTTCCATTTATCACACTGGGGTTAGTGCACGCTGGGGCGCATGTGCGGAGGTCAGATGACAACACAGAGGAAGAATTGGTTCTCTTCTTTCACTGTGTGGATGGATCCCAGGGATGGAACTTGGGTTGTCAGGTGTGGTCGCAAGCACCTTCACCCGCTAAGCCATCCTTCCCAGCTCTCTCCAGCTTTTTAGGTGATGCTTTTCTTCCTTCCCTTATGTCTGTCTGTCAGTCTGTCTTTCATTTTTGTTGTGATAGGGTCTCACTGGGTAGCCCAGGCTGGCTTTGAACTTGTGACCATCCTCCTGCCTCAGCCTTCCCGAGGGCTGATGACAGGTTTCTGTCACCACACCCAGCAGAGTTGGTGCTTTTCTGTTCCTTTGCTGCCGTCTTTGGATTGATTGAGTTTGCTTTTTTCTTCTCTCTGCCAAATCCCACGCTGGTTTGACAGTTACATATTCCATTTTATTCTTTATGGTTACTCCTGTAATTTTAATGTGCAGACTTGGCTTAGTCTGAAGCCGACAAGGTTTGCTACTCTCGCTCTGAATAATGCAAAGTCCTGAGGGTATTTTAATTTTGATGACCTCGTCCTTTTCTTTTTTAAGCAATAGAAATTCATTTGGGGCCAGGAGTGTGGTTCTAGCTCAGTGATGGAATACTTGTCCAGCATAAATGAGGCCCTGGGTCCCTCTCCCCAATGCCCACATGAAAACATCATTTTCCTGAGTCTAGATTCTGGAAATGTAGTGTTAAGGTGTCATCTACGGTACTTTCCTCTGTGGAGGGACTTGTGTTTTCGTTTTGTTTGAAGAAGAGACATTTTAGTATTTTTGTCATTATCACGTTTATTCCTTTATTATTTGTTTGTGTATGTTTGCCTGCATGTGTGCTACGGCACACACTCGGAGGCCAGAGGACAACTGGGAAGAGTCTGTGGTCTCTTTCCACCATGTGGTTTCTGAGGTCATCAGGCTTGGTGGTGGCGATCACCTTTTTCCACTGTGCCACCTCACAGTGCACGCACTCTGCCTCTCTAGTACGAGGGCCTTACACCTGCAGGAAATGTGCTGTCCCATTGCATTATATCCTAAGAATTCTTCTGTTTTGACTTGGTGAACCATGTTTTTATTTTAGTGTGTGCATGTCTGTCCTTAGATGTGTGCATGTGGAGGTCAGAGGATAGCGTGTGGGAGTCAGTTCTTTCTATCATGTGGGTTCCAGAGATTGAACTCAAGTCATCAGGCTTGGTGACAGGCTCCTTCACCTGCTGAGCCATTGTCAGCCCCCAGAACTCTCTTAACTTTTTTTTTTTTTTTAAAGAAACGATTTTTTTTTGTTGTTGTGATTGTTGCTTGTTTTTTTCAAGACAGCATTTCTCTGTCCCGAACTGTCATGGAACTTACTTTGTAGACCAGGCTGGCCTCAAACTCAGAGATCTGAATGCCTCTGCCTCCTGAGTGCTGGGATTAAAGGCGTGCGCCACCACCATCTCTCTATGTAGGTCTTGAAGTTACTATCTTCCTCCCTCAGCCTCTTGAGCAACTGGTATGAAAGGCCTGCACTCCCAGGCCCCAATAAATCACGTTGAATTTAATGGAGGGATATTTCATGAAATTTTCTTCTTTTTTTTTTTTAGGAAATTTGTTTTAATATTAAATGAAATCTTTTCCTAATCCAAGATCACAACAAAATTAATGTCCCTTGCCTTTTATTTTAGGCATATGGTCCATTTTGAGGGTGTTTGTTGGGGAGGGCATGTGACATTGGATTCTCATTTTTTGAGGGTCTACATGAGGGTCTCATGTAGCTCAGGTTGGTTTCCGATTCAGTATGTAGCTGAGGATGATTTTGAACTTCTGATACTCCTGCCCCTAGCTCTTGAGTGCTGGGTGACAGGCCTGTACCACATTGGTTGGCTCTAGGAAGTCCTGTGGATCGAGCCCTGGGCTTCATGCTTGCTAGGATGGCCTCTGCTGCCTGGGCAGACTCCCAGCCCTTGTAAGTTTTTACACATCACTCCTAAGTTATGTATGTTCCCGTTGTCTGCCTTTTTCCATGTCATTCTTAGTTCCTAGATGAATTCCTTCCTCCTAAAGTGTGTTCTTTAGTTTTTCCAGTGACTGTTGCTAGCAAGCTCTGACTGATTGATGTAATTTAGCTTGTTAGGGGACATCCAAGTCTGTGTTTGTCTCTCTGATTGTCTGATATTAAGAAGTCTGCTGCAAC